CTTCCCCATCTGTCATATGAAGAGTGGGAGTGGTCAGTGCGTATTTTTGTAAAAACACATACAAAACAATAGGCACATAGTTGTTGCTCAATAAAAGCTACTCGAATTACTCAGTCAACCAACCCGACTACTGTAGGTACCCCCCCCCACTATTGTCATAAGTTCTTCCATCCTCTTTCCAAACTATAAAGACATCTGTAGAGGTCCAGATCATTTTGATGTAACTGCCTATAAAAATAAAATTTCCTTGACCCTTTGAATCATCTACTTCTTTCCAAGGAAAAACAAAGACACACACACGTGCATGCAATGATTAGCCAACTCTAAGCATCCAAAGATGTCATAAATTGAGTAATGAGATACCGAGCTTGACACCTGCATGATCTAGAGAAAAGGTCTACTTAGAAATTCTGCGAACCACACTGGGTACACTGAACAGTTTCCATATCTGATTCGGAATGCTGTCATCCCAGGGTGAATACTGGCTTACAAATGAAAGCTAAAGCACGTGTAATTAAATATAACAGAAGTCAAACCTTGATTTATTTTTATTTTCATGGTAAGTGGTCAGTATTAAAACACACACACTCAATTAAAAGGCAGGCTATCACACACACACAAAAGAAAACCAAAAACCTGTCAATTAAAACCATTAGTCCTTTGTTTCCCTACTAATTTTGTCTCTAAAACCATGATGGATTTTGTTTTATTGACTTGCTTAATTTAATGTCCCACATGTTAAAAATTAACAGCACTCTTTCCATCTTTGATTACTATGCCAAACAAAATATGCTTTGTATTAATGTTGAAATCCGCTTACTGATCTTTTGGGGGAAAGTGGTATTCCTATGTCCACCAGATCCTGATTCCTGACCCAACCACTTTGATGGTGGCTGCTTGAGCCTTAAATTCTTAATCTTCAGTTCAAATGTGCACTGGACAAACTTCACTGACAAACAGGAATCTGACCACATCCCAGAAGGTAGCAACGCTAGAGTAGGCTCCTGCTTTCCATTTTGCACTTTTGTTCTTAAATTGCAATGCTTCCCATCCATCTAGAATTACTGATTTTTTTAATACGCATGTATCCACACTAGATGCAGATTCAACCAAAAAAATTCTACCAATATATCTTTTATCCTGCTTTTTCTAATTAGCCAGATTCAGAGATAGTGGAAAGCCCAAGTGCCAAAGCTAAATGTCCCGAAATTTAGAAGCCTTGTACTCTCACAACGGTGGCTCCCTAAAACTGTTACGGATCTGGGTTTATTTGTTTGTACACAATGAACTCTCACCTATTTTCTGCTAGTGTTTACCTGGATGATCTGAGAAGTCAGAACTTCCCCTCCGGGAGGCCACCACACTGATCCAGCACTTACTCCAGCCTGTTCCGATGCCCTGGGAAGGAGGAAGGCAGCTCACATCCTCCAGCCTCCTGGTGATGCTCAAATACTTGTCTTTCTGTAGCATAGTGTTCAGTGACTCAAACCGTTCTCCTTTACAATTTTCTCCTCTGTCCTCCAGTGGGGCTTATCTAGCACTGTCCTTGGGGTCTAAAATATCCAGGATTTCAAGGCAACATCTATATACTACTTTGAGCCATTTCTGTTCCTCCTCCAAAAAGTAGACACATATCAACCAATTTTATCGAAAATAACTTATTGGGTAGAAAAGTTATGTACAAAGGTGGTGCTGCAGCACTAGTCATGCCAGACCCTAGCTGCAGCCTAAAGCTACGCGACAAACTAAGCAAATTATGGTATGCTCATATAATGGACTATTGAAAAAAACAATAAAATCGTTAAAAAATGACGTTTTAATGCTAAAAAGAGAATTCCAAATGTCATTTTAGTACTACCTTTCAGATATGGCACATTTTAAGCTGATGTTTTCTTTGAATGATGGGACTGTGGGTACTTTTTCCTGCTTTTGGGGTATATTTTTGTATTATCTAATTGGAGGGGGAAGGCAAAATAAGGCAATTATGGGACTAAGTGTTACACCTAATCAAACAACTTTGTGGTCTTTTTTATCCTAGGCCTTTTTTCTTTTTTAATCCTCTACCAGAGGATTATTTTTTTCATTGGAAAGGGAAGGAGGGAAGGGAAGGAGAGAAGAGGAAAAAGAGAAACATTGATGTGAGAAAGACACATCAATTGTTTACCTCCCACATACGTCCCAACCAGAGCAGGGGCATGGAGCCTGCAACCCAGGTACATGCCTTTGTCCAGGAACCAAACCCATAGCCCTTCGGTCTGAGGGCCAATGCTCCAACCACTGAGCAAAACCGGCCAGGGCAAGGCCTTTTTGTTAAAACTAAGAAAGTCAGTCTGAGGTTGTCTGTCAGCTCAATTTTCTTGTCCTATGGATTAATGGTGGACAGTGTTCTGTATGGTGAAGACAGTTAGCATTTACTGAGTGACTGCTATGTATCAAGCAGCAATCTAAGTTCTTCATATTCAATCCTCACATCAACCCAATGAAGTAGTATGATGATCTCCATCCTACCGATACTAAAACTGAAGCACAGAAGTTAAATTACTAGCTCCCGGCTGCAATTCAAACTCAAGCCCTCTGGGGTTCAAATGACTACACCATTTACAATGGGACATCAGGCACTTGTTTCATCTTATTAGGACTATCTATCATTCATTTCAAAATATTTTGGAGGTGAGCTGCCTCCATAAGGTGCTATTTATATATAACTTTCAAACAATCAGAGCACCCAGCAGACCCAAGGAATCTCCCTATTGACACCATATGGAAACTCTAGTGAAGGACTTTGCCAAAGTCTATGGCAGAGATGGAAACAACTACCTCAATGAGGTGGTGATGCCACTTATACCTTTTCCTGTGTGACATCAAACATTCATGTGCAAGGAATAAGACAAGAAAATACATTATCTATAATCACTCTTCCATCTTAACTGGGGAAATAAGACAAATAACATAAAACAACTGGCACAAGGTAAAAAGGCATAATGAAATACTAAGGCACAGAAGTCAGGTCCAAAGTATCATAGTATTTTTTTTTTATAATATATTTTTATAGAATTCAGAGAGGAAGGGAGAGGGAGAGAGATAAAAACATCAATGATGAGAGAGGATCATTGATCGGATGCCTCCTGCAACACCCCTACTGGGGATGGAGCCCGCAACCCAGGCATGTACCCTTGACTGGAATCAAACCTGGGACCCTTTAGTCTGCAGGCCGAGGCTCTATCCACTGAGCCAAACCAGCTGGGCCAAAAAGTATCATGGTATTTTTGAAGGTACAAGAAACAACGCTTGGAGATCACCTAGCCAAGCCCAGCATTTCAGGATGAGTGCTAGTAACTTGAGGTCACACAGTTGCTAAGTAGCAGAGGCAGGTAAAGTAGCCAAGGAAGATTGAGGAAGCAGTTTTGGGAAAGCTTTGCAAGAATTATGTAGGTTGAGGTGATGGTCCTTTAGGTGAAGACAGCGAATAATATTCCCCCTTTCCTGGTTTAGTGAAATCAATCTGCCACTGGTCTGATTTTTAGATGACAAGATTGTGAACAGTCCCTGCACTGAGGGCTCAGATTTAAATTTTGTAAATCATTGAAAACTACTGACCTGTTTATTTTGTTCCATTTATTATTTTAAACATTAGGCAGTTGAATGTGCTATCATATTCAACTCAAAATATTACCAAATAGAAACACAGCTTCCCACACATGCATTCCAGGTGCCTGCCTGAGAAGTGATCATCTGACTGTCCTAACATACAGTTGTTCGGACAGAAGTAGGTGTCTGATGTTGTAAACTGGTAAGTAGAAATTACTTGTCCGGCTTTGGTGCTTCCACCACTAACACACTCTTAAATACACTTTGTAATAATTGCTCACAGAAAATCTATCAGACACAAAAAATAGAGACATGCTTAACTCTCAGAGTCATCATAGAGTACCTAAATATCAACTGATTGAGCAGTATTTTTATAAGAAGATCCCTGAATGTTTACAGGCAATGTGTGAAGATATTAAATTAAGCCTAGTTTTAACTAAGAAATTTTGGTGGTGAACACAGCATATGTGACTCAGAACGTGTAAAATCTATCTCTGAAATGCTTGTTCAAATCTGAGAAAAGAAAACATGGTAGGAGAATAAAGTTAATTTTGACGAATCCTTTTTAACAGTTTGTAAGTAAATATGGTTGCTAAGCTTAAAATAAACTAAAATGCTTATTTTTGTAAAAATTACAAACCATTTTACTTTTCGACACAAAGCACAGACATAATGTTGTATTTTCTTGTATTCTAAAATAATTCCTGTGGGTTTGCAAGTACAAGTTAAGGCAAAGTTATTTTTACTTTGTCTCCAAGCCATTAAGAGTGTATTTTCAATTCCTCAAAATTATTTTAAGAAGTGTTATATCCTCAAACATAGATCATTCAAGCTAGCAATATTAAACAAAAACTCAGTACAGTTCTTCATTATATTTTAGCTATTTACATTGCAAACTCTCATACTATTTGCTAATGTGGATGAAATAACTAAAATGTGGTTTCCAAAGAAATAAAACAGGTTAATAAGACAAAAGTAATCAACATTTAGTCCATAAATAATCATTTTCTAAAAAGTCTCAAAAAAAGAAAAAGAAAAGAAAGAAAATATAAATTCAGGTGCTAAATGTCTTCCTTACAACCAAGGCCAAATCTGCTGTGTGGCTTCAAAGTTCCAGACAAGATCTAACTTTCAACCTAAATATTTCTGACCTACAAAACACAGTATCAGAGTCGCCATGTCCCACAGTCAGGTTAAAATACTTTGCAAAGTCTCGGAGACTTTAATTGAATGCAAGAAAGCTAAGAGTCTAAATGGATCAACAGAGAGAAACAAACTGAAGCTGTTTGCCAAATATTAAGCTTTTACAGAAAAATCCAAAACTTATCTAGCAATGTCCCTATAACAGAATAACCTATATGCAAAAGGTGCATGTTTTAATGCAATCACTTTTTAGCATGCATCTTACTTACTTTGTTTTTTGCCATTTTTAAGCTTCATTAAAGACACCCAGAAAGATGTAACTAGTTGAATGAGGTTCGGCTCAGATAGGAAAAACCAGTTCTAAACTCGACCCACAAATTTACATCCCAGAACGCCCTGCTGGGAAGGTACTCTGCAAACTAACATTACATCTACAAGCTTTAGATTGTGAAATAGTGCGTTACAGCTTTCTGCGCTGTATATTAGCATTAGAAACCCTCAACTCCAGTTTCCACTACCAAAAAAAAAAAAAATCCACCTCCAGTCCTCATTGGCCCACATAGTTCCGGCCCACATGGTATCAGTGGGTGTGTCTGGCCCAACAGGTCCTTTCATTGGCTGCGAAAAAAACAGCGTTTAATAGGCTGTGATTTGGAGGGTTGTCAAACTCCACGCCTCCAGCTCTCGAGCTCACCAATAGACCCAAGGTGCTGGCTGCTACTTTACGATTCAAAGGGCAAGCTGGCTGCTGGAGCGCCAAACCCAGCCAGACGAGCTCCGATAAGGCAAAGGGGAGCTCCGACAGTCCTTCTAGTTCTACCCTTGCTCCCAGGCACCATCAAAGGTTCACACGCATGCAATTTTCCACCGACAAGTCAGAAAGCCGAGCAGTGCCTTTGCCTTCCACAGAGCCGCGACCTAAGGAGCACCCGAGGCTCCGTGTCCAATCGGCCCATTCTACAGGTGGAAGCAGGCAAGGCTCAGGCTCAGACAGCGAGCTTTAGTACTCAGCGCTCCTTGGGGAAAAAAATCCGTTCGGGGCGTCCCTCCGATCAGTGCCCCCGACCCCCACCCCCGACGCCGGGCGCTGGAGCG